GGGGGGGGGGGTGACACCCCCCAGAAATTCTATTCCAAGCTTCAGTCGGCAGGACTGCTATTTCAGTCGGCAGACAAAAATGTTTTTGACGAATAAAACTACTACCGATATGATTTTCACCTGTTATATATTAAGAAACGGAAATTTTGGTTACTCGAAATTTACTCAGCAGGATAATCATTATAATCGGTTAGTGAAACAAGCCCAGATTGACAGTTAAACCACATAGCGATACAAAGTATATGTAGCATATTTGATAGGTAGAACCGCAGAACACAATATAATGCCGCCAAAAACTCAATTATCAAAACTGGCGATTTAGAACAGGCTTTATTCAGAGCAGAACGGACGTAACTTCAGGGACTGCGGAGCAGAGGGGGGGGGGGGGGGAAAAAATTTCCATACATATGTAATTTTTATAAACTAAGAACACTGAAATCTTTCAGATCAGTTAACAATATATTTATAACTTATTAGTATAAGTAGGCTATTCAATCTATTTCTGGTTGGTTTAAACAAATGACGGGTAATGTTAGATTACGATACCGGTTCGCTGCTATTACAACTTTTCATATATGAAGTTTTTGTTTAATTATGTTATATTATCAAAATTTTAAGTGCCAAATTCACCTTGAGTAAAAATTTGATGTTGCTCCGATGCGAATCCGGTATTGTGTAACTGTGGCCTAGAACTTGTCTATTAAGAAACTTTAAAAATTAAAACTTTAAACTTTACAGCAACTAGTAAATTTGATTGCATTTCATTTCATTTCCCACAAACTCACGCCTTCGACGTTCGCTATAGCCCCCTTAATCTAAAACTAGGTTACCCACAGGGCAGTAATGCTGCCTTTGACAGCAAAAGACAAACTACAGGGTGTTGAACGAGTCCTTCAGAAACATCCTATTATTGTTATCCTAGTCTCTGATAGCCGCTACGCAGGCTATTTTTATCCTTGTTAACCCATTTATTGACAGCACAGCCCTACCACTGACTGAGTATTAAAAATCGTCTGGCGTTGGACAGGGTAAATACTAAAGTCATTACTGTGCAGATGGATTAACAAGAGCCATTGGCAGATACGTTTGTTAACCCATTTACTGGCAGTACCCTGTACCACTGACGAGTAAAAGGTATAACAACCAACCTAACTACCCTGCGCGGCTGCGCGCAGCTATATAATGACATATATATGTTATCCGTCCCCGTCCGTCGCCATCCGTCCGTCCGTCATTCATCCGTCCGTCCGTATCCGCGTTTTATCCTAACTCGTTTTTAAAACACAAAAGTACATTTCAAAAGCGGCCAATTAGACCAGGGGTGAAAGGGCAATGACAATGACATGCAGGTGACATTTAACATTGCGTCTCACTAATTAAAATTTGCGTGTTTATTAATAATGTTTATCAAAGAAAGCAAAAATATATACAAGACAATCTCACATGTGAAATTTTTTCACTTAGCTACGTACTGCCTTGTGATGCAGTACAAGTATAAACACCAAATGACAAAGCATTTGTAAATCCTAAAACATAATTAAATAATACGGCACATTCAAGATTTTAATATCGTATTTCAGTCGCGCGTTTATACTGCTTGGCGCATTCGCTGCGTTATATTCATTTATATACACAGAAAAGCATGTCATTGTCTTTGCGGACCATAGGCAAAAAGCATTCGTCAACCACATACCAAATTTAAGCAATTGTTAAATCATATACATGTCATGGAAAGAATATGAAAATGATGTTGAAAGAAGGCTGGCATCACGTATCATGTTAAAAGCACCGCATATAGTGCTCGGACCAGTGACCACTGCGTATAATTGCAAAAGCACCGCGTATATAAATGGTGAAAGCACCGCGTATATAAATGGTGAAAGCACAGCGTATAATGCTGGAACCACAGCGTATAATGCGGGAACCACCGCGTATAATGGCGAAAGCACCGTGTATAATGCCTAAAACACCGCTGTATAATGCTACAAGCACCCAACAAAATGCCGTTTGTTCACTTGAAAACACCGCTGTATAATGCTACAAGCACCCAACAAAATGCCGTTTGTTCACTTTAAGCCAGCTATGGCTTTCCATAAAAGAAGACCAAAGATGAAAGATGATCACATTGCCTGTTTGCCTTATACTTGACCGCGCTGCACCACGGTTAAAATTCACTGGTACCGTCATGCAATGCGCCAAATAGAAAATTTTGATATCGACCCACAAAACAAAATTAGGATCTGCTGCCTTGCTCGCTCGCTTCAGGCTCGCTCGCTGCGGCAGTGATATCGACCCACAAAACAAAATTAGGATCTGCTGCCTTGCTCGCTCGCTTCAGGCTCGCTCGCTGCGGCAGCAATAAACGTGTTCGCTTAATAAATGTGTTCTCTTTAATAAACGTGTTCGCTTAATAAACGTGTTCGCTTAATAAATGTTTTCGCTTAATAAACGTGTTCGCTTAATAAACGTGTTCGCTTAATAAACTCGTTTGCTTAATAAACGTGTTCGCTTAATTTAACTCGTTTGCTTAATAAACGTGTTCGCTTAATTGTTCGCTTAATAAGTGTGTTCTGTCTATATAACGTGTTCGCTTAATTGTTCGCTTAATAAGTGTGTTCTGTCTATATTTTTGTGTTTCATCTAAATATTTGTGTTGCCCTTGTCGGCCACCGTATGTATCCCTTGTCTACATCCGTAGTTTATTTCTAGTGTCAGCTGGGAAGTAAACACGCGATAAAAAGTTTTCTTTATTAAATTGACTAGAGATATTTACTATGAAAAGATGCTGATTTTTATGGCGAATTCAATGGTGTTCTCCGATTTTCCATCTACTCTGTACACAAATTCCTATAGTAGGGTAAAGACTTGAGTTTTAGAGTATTAAAGGGCGAATATCTCGGTTCAGTTTTTGAATGAAAAAAGGGCTGTTGATACAGAATTTCATGCAGAATCGAAGGGTATTTTCGGAATTTCCATCTACCATGCACACAACTATGTGCTCACTATACGAAAGTAAATTTGCATGCCAGAGACTCGAGGTAAGCGTTATCAGCCGAGCCAAAT